GATTTTAACCCCCCCCCCCCCCTTGAAAAAATCCTGCGTACGCCACTGATTCCTGGGGGGGGGTGTTTCAGAAAGATCCTAAGTAGAACTTAACGCTAAGTTGGACTTAAAAATTATGGACAGCCATTGGAGCCTTTAAATGAAATATATTCAAAAGCAGAAATTCAAGTATTTTAGACTTTTTATGAATTCCACATCAAGAACATGAAATCTCCTAGATGATAGAAAATATGAATGATTTGAATCAACATTTCATGCCTTTTAAAATAACTTTTACAAAATATTTTCAAGGATGCTAATGGCTTTCCATAACTTTTAAGTCCAACTTAGTGTTAAGTTCTACTTAGGATCTTTGTGAAACACCCCCCAGGTCAAACAGTTTTTGTTCGGTTAAGTGTCTGTCTTGTGTCGGTCTTGTGATCGCGGTATACATACCCGGTTTTATACCTCAATTACATTAAACCGACTTCCAACCGATTCCAAGCCGACCGATTTCTAGGCCATCCAGAGTAACGTAACGAGTAACGTATTCTTTGGTATGTTATCGGTGTGACATTGTCTGGTGTTGTTCTCATCGGTGGGACTGGGGTACTAGGAGACCTAAGGCCTTTATCTGCTCTAGGACATAATTTTATGTAATTTATGAGTTTGCCTGAACAGTCTGAGCTGGATTGTATTGTGATATCCGCTCTTCAAAGAAATTATAGGTGACGATGTGGCATATGGCTCTCTGTCATTCTCTCACTCTCTCTCTCTCTCTCTCTCTCTCTCTCTCTCTTTCTTTCCTCTCTCTCTCTCTCTCTCTCCTCTCTCTCTCTCTCGGGTACTTCTTCTGTCTCTGTCTCTGTCTCTGTCTCTCTCTCTCTCTCTCTCTTCTCTCTCTCTCTCTCTCTCTCGGTTTTCCTTCTCTCTTTCTCTCTCTCTCTCTCTCTTTTCCTCTCTTTCTCTCACTGTCTTCCTCACTCTCTCTCTCTCTCTCTCGCAAAACCATTCTCTGTGTCTCTCTTTCTGACTTTCATGTTCCTTCTCCCTCTCCCACTCTTTCTCTCTGGTGTAACCCTGAAGACCATTAGTTTTTGCATGAAAAGATGAAATGATTTTCTGACATAAAACTAAAAATTCGTTTTCCATGCAAACAAATAACCTCCGTATAATCTTACCACTGCACCCAGTTCTGTTCTCTCGCAACCTTTTCACATCTTCTCAACATTATGTTCTTGCTTTTCTTCTCTCTCTAGTGCTCTCTCTCTCTCTCTCTCTCTGGTTCTCCTTCTCTCTCTCTCTCTCTCTCTCTCTGGTTCTCCTTCTGCCTCTCTCTCTTTTCCTCTCCCTCTCTCCCTGTCTTACTCACTCTTTCTCTCGCCAAACCATTCTGTGTCTCTCTTTCTGACTCTCATGTTCCTTCTCCCTCTCCCACTCTTTCTCTCTTCATATTAATTTGTGTAACCCTGAAGACCATTAGTTTTTGAATGAAAAGAGGAAATGATTTTCTGACACAAAACTAGAATTTTTTGTACGTGCAACCAAATAACCTCCGTATAATCTAACCATTTCACCCAGTTTTGTTCTCTCGCAACCTTTTCACATCTTATCAATATTATGTTCTTGCTTTCCTATCTGTTTTATCCATTATTCAGTGCGATTCTATTTTATCGTTGGAGCCATTGTAGGCAGGCATGACTATGCGCTTTACAACGATATAGATTAAAAAAATTATACGCTCATAAATTATGAAGGTCGGGCAATGGCAAGATCAACTGCAAAAGCAGGCCGTATGGTGTTTTCAAATCGAGTTATTCTTGAATTACTTTTTTGATTATCTTTTTCGATTTAAATGTGGAAAGCTATTTTACATGACCTTGTCAGGTGTGGATCCAGGATTTCTTAGAGGGAGGGGGGATGCCCAAATTTGAAATTAATTTGAAATTTAGGGTGCTGAAAGTGAAAATCGCGCTGGCCGATCGCTCAGGGGGGAGGGGGGGGGGGGGGGAGTGAGCACTTTTTTTATTTTGACCCCGGCAATTTGAAAATCTGGCCCGCCGCTATTTCACTCAACATATTTGCACCCCCCCCCCAAGCAAAATAAAAAGGGGAAAGTTTCTAGTCACAATCATTTGTTTTCCCTTTTTTTGACAGGGGGGGGGGGGCAGGGTCGTTTGCCCCCCTTCCCCCTGTATTCGCGCCTGGACCTTGTTCACTAGCGGATACTGCCTTTAAAATCAGGGCTTGCATACTGCATAGCGTAATACATTAAAATTAGAGGCGCCGTATTTGTGATAATCGTAATCGTGAACAGACCGGACAGGTACATAAGAGAACAACAAGCCCCCCCCCCCCCCCCCCCCCCCGCGCCATCTAGCGTTTTAATATGCATATATTCATTGGTATAAATCATTTTTCCACGTGGCTGACATCTTTTACATGAATATGAACTTTCATCGCTTCTGGTTTGTATTGATGGGATGATCCCTATTTTAAGTATAGAGGGAGTTAATCTTATGGGACATTTCACAGATTTCAGCTCTTCTTCTTATCGAGCGATGTAGCCAGTTTTAAAGGTACTATGTCCCCTTTGCAGCCAACATCAAATTCTGTAGAACTTTGCAGGAAATATGAATATGTCACAGAGGCGGCGCTCCGGGGGGGGGGGGGGGGGGGGGGGCAGGGGGGCACAGTGCCCCAAAATTTTATAAGAACCAAAAGTGCCCCTTTTTACATAGGAAATGTGCCACTTTTACTTTGACGAGTGCCCCTACTATTTTTTAAAGTGCCCATTCCCCTTTCGATCTCTGATTAGTGCCCCTTTTATTTTGACACGTATCCCTTTTCCTTTGACAAGTTCCCAGTTCCCTTAACAATAAGTGTCAAGTTTCCATTCTCATAAGTGCCTTTTTAAATCTGTAGTAAGTTCCCCTTTTCAGGTACGGGAAGCATTTGATTTGCTTTATATCATAGAGCCAACTTTGGTACACTATACCTCTACGCAGAATTATGACATTTTTTCCATTAATTATGGTTATTTATGCAAATTTATTCCAAAAATAACAAAAATATGCTTCTTCTCCTTCATTTCATTTTAAAGTTTTGTGCAAAATAAAAGGATGAGGATTATTTGCAAATTTGATCCCTCACAGAAAACACTTGATTTGTGGTTTAAAAAGAGGAGAAAAGAGAGGTTGAAAATTAAATGTTCAAAACGCATTTTGTTTTCGGCAAAGCGCTACTCCCAGCCGCTACTAGCGCAAGGCCAGGATAGGCCTAGGCATGGCGATCACACTGCATACCCCCCTTGCACACACACTTTGGATAGGTAGAACTATGGTAGTAGGGTCCATGGTAGAACAATGCTCACAGTTATTTTTTATGCTGGTGGCCCAATCTGGCAAAAATATAATAATTTTATAAATGATAGGAAATATCAAGAAATGATAAGTGTACTAGCGAATATAAATTTAGAGTAATGGTGGTCGATTTGTAACAAATGAAATTATGTCCCTTCCAGGGCATCAAATTTTTATTTTTTGACCAGTTCAAAAGTGTACCACATAAAATTTACGATATTTGTTGTTGCGAGATGCGGATGAGCGCTACGTCATTGATGTTCTGATTATATGCATGATTTATTGAATAAAGAACAGATTTATATTTTTTGTGTTTATTACAAATTTTAGTTGGTAATTTTAAGTCAGACAATGGTGCGCTTAGAAACACCTGTATTAAGCGCCTAATCAATGTTATGTATTATTATTATTATTATAATAAAAACACACACGCTTTCCCATCCTCTCACAATATTTTCACAATATACGCGTATCGCTATTACCAAATCAACTGTTGATGAATATAGGGGCATGCGGAATGTTTCGGAAATTTAATAACATTCCTCCCCTTTCTTTAAATGGAATATTATTTTTGTTTTGATTCAATTCATGTTTCATAATTTTTTTCTTTTTGGTTGGAAAAAAGAAATCATTTTTTACTCCTTTACTGATGATTTTTTTCGAAGGGGGGTGGACTTTTAACGGAGTGGGGGAGGGGGGGGGGGGCTAGAAATACGTTATGCTCCCCAATTTTTTCGTTTGGAGGGGGAGGGGGTCGACTGTATACTTTACCTTTTACCATAACAGTGCCTGTAGCATTGAAGATGAATGAAGAGTACAAACCACATAATTGTATTAGTTGTGTAAACACACTTTATTTATAACCGCAATTATGTAATCAAAATTGATATCAATTGATACCCATATTATTCACTGGAATAATAACGGTAGACAGAGAGGGGTGTCTATATCGTTGCATACTTAGTATAATAAATAACATTAATTAATAATTTGGCGATTTCTGTTTGAAATACAGTCCACCTCTTAAATATATAGACCGGTAGTGGACAAATTGCTGTTCAAGGGTTTTGGGTGTAAAATATCCATTTAATATTGACTTGACAGAGGTTTAGATGGGAATACTATAACTTAAATTCGCAAAAAAGCAGAAATATGTGCCCACATAATCAATGTTGAAGTGCATTTGCGATATCTATCCAGTCCGGATTAAAATAATTTACCAAATATATCAATTAGTAAGCAGTTTCCCGGCAAAATTTGTTTAATAATGTCTTACATTGTATTACCCTTATATAACTTTTATTACTGTAATATGCTTTGTATTGTATTATTCTATTATTGCAAATTATGTCCTGAAGTATGTTAAACTTTAACTTATGTGTATTTTACTTTCTTTCTTGGATTACTTGAGGGTCGTATGCCCACAATTATACAATATCCACACATCTGCGCTAGGAGTGTCATTTTTGATAGACATGGCGCATTATAAATGTTCACTACTATTTATCAATTATTATTATTAGTCAAAAAACATCTTTCACATGATGGGTAATAAGAGCTTTCATTTCATTTGAGAAGGGGGGGGGGCATTTCCAAAACTGGTCTTTACCTTTAATATATATTTTTCGGGGGGAGGGAGGGGGGGGGTAGGGAGGTTGGCGGCTGTCACATTAACGGTGAGCTTCCGTTGTCATGGATGAAATGAGAGTGACGTTGATTGTACGATGATGATGTGTTGTTTCACAAGTTCCACTAGACGTTACGAAAGGGGCCTTGAAATAAAAGTGTAACAAAAAAAAACACACATGAAAATGACATAGTTAATCAGCAGAATATTAACTGTTACATGAAACGTAAAGGTCTGCGCTTGAAAAATAAATACACTGTCGCTCATATAGGTGGAATATTTTTGTTTTACCCCAATTTATGGAATTATTTAAAAATAATCTAAAAATAATAGATCTAGATAATAGTATACATTCTCAGATTTTATTGAATAATAATTTGACAATGTGTGTTTTGCGTGACTGCTAAAGCATGTGTATGCTACTATGCTTATCAACTAGGGGACCTACGCCCTCAAGTCATAAATGACAGTTATGAGGATTAATGCCCCACAAAAGGGCACTAATATAGCACGTCGACACGGTTTTGATCCTGGGGCCTCACAGTTACGAGGCCATTGCTTTGTCACTGAATCATGACTATACGCAGCAGGGGCTAGGGTTGGGGGCAGTTTCCATAAATTTAAAAAAAAAAAAAAAAATGCAATAAATTTTCAATAATTTATTGCATTTTACCCCGGTTCCCAACATAAAAAATCCTCAGTGTGCCCATGCCTTGAGCCATAATGCATGGCCGTCCAGAGGATTTTTTTATGTTGTGGACCAGGGTAAAATGCAATAAATGATTGAAAATGTATTGGATTCTCTTTTCAAAAATAAATTTATGAAAACTGCCCCCTATCCTAGCCCCTGCTGCGTACAGTCATGAGTCAGTGACAATGTGCTATATTAGTGCCCTTTTGTAGGGCATTAATCCTCATTACTGTCATTTATGACTTAATGGCGTAGGTCCCCTAGTTCATAAGCATAGTAGCGTAAACACAAAACACACATTGTCAAATAAATATTTAATTAAATTTGAGAATGTATACTATTATCTAGATCTATTATTTTAAAATTATTTTTAAAATAATTCCATAAATTGGGGTAAAACAAAAATATTCCAACTATATGAGCGACAGTGTACACTATAGTAATAATAATGATACAATGTGCATGAACAAGGGAAAGATAATCCTAGGAGAGCTACCAACTGGTGAGCTTAAGATTCTTAATTAGGTTCAGCCTCAGGAGGGTCGATAATATTCATGACATGACGTTGAGGGCTACCGATCGTTACACATCATAACAATACATTATTATGAATATGAAAATAAATGTGTCTTTCTTTTACTTCTCGTTAGATGTCATCAATCTTTATCTATCGTGTTTTGGAAGATGGTCCAGACCTTTTCTTTTCTCGTTCTTTCCCCTTCTCATTTTGTCTCTTTTCTTGCTTTTTCTGGATTTGTCTACATTGTCACTACACGATGGATGGATGGGGCACGTCCATCTTTACCCCGTAGCTAAAGAAATTGAAACAAATAATATTATTACCCGTATTAGATATCGGAGCAGTGGTTTTACAAAATCATATTACACTTGTTGTAATCCTAAAAGAGCTAATCAGTAACCAAATATTAATCGACTACGAGGGTAATGGTATAGTATTAATGACTGCTACACGCCTCGGGCAATAGCACAATTGTAACCTTCCCGAGAGCGTATAAAAACAATTATATACCTCACTTAAGAAATCCAGCCATCTGATTGGTCGAAATTGCATTCATAAACTTTAACTATTCCTGTAAAATTCCCGGTAAAATTCCAAACCCATGTAATAGTTCCCAAAAATAGTTCTAAAATCCCAGTTACCATGGTTACTGGGAAAATAGTTCAGTCTTGGTGAAATACCCATAGGTTCACATGTTAAAAATGGTTTGAGCGATCGAGGATACCGTACGTGTGCGAAGAATTGGTCGGTATTTTCATACAAGACAAGACAATTCCAAACAAGACAAAAATGGCTGAAGAAACTCTCCCAAGATTTCAACTTATCAAATGCAAGACTCGCTGACAGCAATTAGAACAACAAAAAGGGCACGTGAAATTATCCTTAAACATGTTCGTTTAGTTGCTGAAAATGCTTTTGACGAGTACCAGCATAGACGTAGACGAAAATAGATCTATAGATCTTCCCATAGAGATTGCACGCAATGCAGTCTCTATGCAGTCTACGTGCATTGCGCGACCATGCAAAAAAAAATCAAGTTTTTTTTTTCAATTCGAGATTCAAACCATTATCTGATGTGATCCTGAAGGTGATACAGTGAGGTGTCATATGGAAGCGCAGGTTTTTCTCCATATTCCCCACAGGGCCGGCCCACCCCCAAAATTGTAAAAATATCTTGCTTAGACTAGAATCTAGATCTAGTCTATACTCTCAAAGATACACTCATAAAAAAACAACCGTGCAGATAAACTAGAGAAAGGCCAAGGTGATGTCATAAGTTGACCTTTTTCGGCATATAAAAGTATTAATGACTGCTTTAATATTCGAGAAATAGTTTTTTTTTTATATACGCTCTCGGGAAGGTTACAATTGGGCTATTGCCCTCGGCACGCCTCGGGCAATATCATTAATACTATACTATTTCTCGAATATTAAAGCGGTCATTAATACTTTTATATGCCGAAAAAAAAAATCAACATATGACACCACATTGGCCTTTCTCTAGTTTATCTGCACGGTTGTTTTTTATGACTATGACTGAGTGTATCTTTGAGATCGAGTAGACTAGATCTAGCTTCTAGTCTAAGGAAGATATTTTTACAATTTTTGGGGTGAGCCGGCCCTGTGGGGAATATGGAGAAAAACCTGCTCTTTCATATGACACCTCACTCATCGAGTATAACCTTCAGGATCACGAGCAATATTAGTTTGAATCTCATGAGTGCGCAATTAATGCATAGGGATGTGTGCAATCTCTATTATTTTAGAACTATTACATGGGTTTGGAATTTTACCGGGAATTTTACAGGAATAGTTAAAGTTTATGAATGCAATTTCGACCAATCAGATGGCTGGATTTCTTAAGTGAGGTATATAATACAAACTATCATCGCCGAGGTGATCTCGGGGCTACTAACTTCCCGAGCCAGTGTGCCTTTGGTGTGATTATTTCGTCACAATAGAGTGCGCGCAAAGTGCGCAGGTTCTCGTACGCATAATAGATGCGCAATGAAAATGACAAAATACGGCGCGGTCAATACAAGATGCCCGGATGCGAGACCGTGGAAAATTCCAAGGTATATTTTCACTCGTCTTTACACGCAAAATCAATACGCGCAGGGAGACCAAGGAAAATACAAAGAATATACCCCTCCGGTCCCACTGCTAGTGAAAACTAGGGCAATACGGTTTTGTAAATGGCCAGCTCAGATGTCTGATACGGGTAATAATATGTGGTATCTCCCTCAAGGCCAGTCCATATGGCTTATGCCGAGAGGGTGGGTAGCGTCGCGTTGAGTCGCGTTGACTTGAACGCGATCATTCGTCCAAAGCCCCCCCCCCCCCCCCCGGTTGTGCCGAAAGGGTGCGTTGATTAGTATTTTTCAGCTCCTGGTAATGAACATTTCTCTATTAGCAGTGACAAGACAGTCATTGTTTCCTCAGAGCACAAACAGAGGGAAAATGAGGTGAAGTACATAGGGGGACCCACTGCCTGCTTCCAGTTCGCTATCCTATTGTCTGGTGACGTCCATCCGAATTCAGGCCCCACCCAGGAAGAGAACAACAGATACCAACACAACCAAGATGAGCATGCCACTCGCAGACAAACCCGGCTCTGCTACGATGCGGCCACTCTACATAGTCTCAACACCAGACCACATCAATTGATTAATCACCACGCATGGATGAACATCTGCAAGCTTGGCATTAGACGCAATAAGAGGACCCACCGAGTTCGTAGAGCTCCGAGAAAACATGGGATCAAGGCTCCTGGAAGCACCCTCAACTTAGCACCACCACAAGATGACACTGTTTACTCTTCCACTACTCCAGAGAACAACTTTGATGATATTGATAATAGTAATCAATCAGATGATCATGGCTTTTTCATTGACATTAGATTAAAAGGACTTAAAATAGCTCATCTGAATATATGTAGCTTTTATCCTAAGATTGTTGAGAAAAAATGTCTAATTACCCATTTGACATAATAGCCTTCTCTGAGACTTATTTAGATGAGTCTATTGGTAATGCAGAAATTTATATTGAGGGTTATTCTCTTGAGAGAAGGGACCGAAAACGTCAAGGGGGAGGAGTGGCCATTTACACTAGGAACAGCATTATATACAAACGTACTACGGAGTTTGAGTATTTTGGCATTGAAAACATATGGATCGAAGTTAAATTAGTACACAGTAGCCCATTGATGGTCGGTGTGTTTTATCGTCCCCCAAACTCCAACACTTCCTATTCCGAATTGATGGACACATCAATTTCCAAGATTGCGAATGGTGGCATGGAATGTTATATTTTTGGCGACTTTAACTATAACATGTATAATAACAGAGAATCAAGAAATGTTAAAACTTGGTGTAATCAGTATAACCTGAAACAGATAATTGACGATCCTACTCGAGTTACTGAGAGTAGTTCTACATTGTTAGATTTAATTCTAACTAATCGACCAAACAATGTACTTGATAAAAATGTTGTCATTCATGGTCTGAGTGATCATAGACTAGTGTATGTTGTTAGCAAACATGTTAAACCGAAAACTCCAGCTAGGATTATACATACAAGAGCTTACAGACGGTTAAACGTAACGTTATTTTGTGAAGCATTATTAAATGCTAGAATAGAAATTATGGAAGGAAATGATATTGAAATTGAATGGAATAAATGGAAGACTAATTTTATTGGTATTTGTGATGAACATTGCCCTAAGATTTCTTTGAGGGTTAGGGGTATGAAGACAAAATGGGTCACGCCTGAGTACACTCGATTGTGCTATGATAGAGATGCACTTAGGAAGAAAGCTGAAAATTCAAAGGACCGACGGGATTGGAGTCTTTTCAGATCCTGCCGTAACCATGTCAATAATCTAAGAGTTACTTTGAAAAAGTCTTTTTGTCATGAACAAATAGTTCAAAACAAA